TTAACATTTCTACGATTGAATCTGAACGCTGATCAAACGCTGAACGCTGTCGACGAGATCACCTTGACAGCTTTAGCAGATATTTGACTGACATAACGGTGCCTGCCCACCTTCGAAGTCGTATTCCGTACTAAGTAAAAGCAAAAAAAAAAAAAAAAAAAAAAAAAAAAACAGCAATACAATAGGGGCAGGCCTCTAGTGCAAAAAAGCCCTTAATTGTATAATTATGGGCAAGGATATTTTTTTCATATTGGTCTGTTTGTGAAGAAAAATAGCAGCCTTCATTGTTTTAAGTAAAATGAAACTGGTTCTATGTATCTTTTTGTCTCAACTGTCAATAACACAGTCCTTGTTGCTCTGCCGGTGCACTCTGGACCCAAAAGCACCACGTCCCCACATTCCTCTTTCTGCATCTTTCCTTGACATTCCACAACACAGAAATAATAAAGATGAAGTTTCAATAGGTTTTAATTTAATTTCATAGCTGTATTACACTTTGTTTGTTTTTATATGAAAAGATCTATCATATTATCTGAAGATAAATATAAATAAATATCACATTTGGCCCACAACTTTGTAGACGTTTTTAATTTTGAATCACTGTGTATTTGACACACCTGATCACTAAAGGACAGAAAAACCTTTTAACTCAGTGATGACGAGGATCAGAATAGAAAATCATATAAAAGTCAGATATGTGTCCATTTGTGATTTCAAGCCTCTGATCAGACTGTTTGAAGATAAATGCAGTTTTTGATAATTTGCTGACCAAAATCTTTTGCTGCTCTTTATTCTTTCTTTATACAACCTGTTTATACAATTTCCATCCATTCAACCATCCACCCCTCCTTTTCCAGAGTCAGGTCGCAAGGGTAGCAGACTAAGTAAGGAGGCCCAGACTTCCCTCTCCCCAGCTACTTGTTCCAGCTCCTCCAGGGGAATCCCAAGGTGTTCTCAGGCCAGCCGAGAAACATGGTCCCTCCAGCGTGTCCTGCGTCTCCTCCTGGTGGAATATGCCCAGAGTACCTCACCAGGGAGGCGTCCAGGAGACATCCTGACCAGATGCCCAAGCCACCTCTCTCAACGGGAAGGAGCAGCGGCTCTACTCTGAGTCCCTCCCAGATGACTGAGCTTCTCACCCTATCTCTAAGGGAGAGCCCAGACACCCATGAGAAAACTCATTTCGGCCGCTTATATCCTTGACCTCGTTTCGGTCATGACCCAAAACTCATGACCATAGATGAGGGTAGGAACGTAGATCAAGAGCTTCGCTTTTAGACTCAGCTCTCTCTCCACCACGACACACCAGTACAGTGCCCGCTTCACGGTAGATGCTGTGCTAATCTGCCTGTCAAAGTCCTGCTCCATTTTTACCTCATTTGTTAACAAGATCACAAGATACTTAAACTCCTCCACTTGGGGCAGGACTTTTCCGGCTCAAGACCATGGCCTCAGTTTTGGAGGCGCTTATCCTCATCTCGGCCACTTCACACTCGCCTGCAAACCGCTCCAGTGAAAGATGTAGATTATGACCTGATGAAGCCAGCAGGGCCACATCATCTGCAAAAAGCAGAGACATAATCTTAAGGTCACCAAAACAGATCCCTTCAACACCTTGGCTGTGCCTGGAAATTCTGTCCATAAAAGTAATGAACAGACTCAATGACAAAGAGCAGCCTTGGTGGAGCCCGACTTAATGCGGACCAGTCTCTGACACCTGTAAACTATATTCCCAGAGCACCCCCACAGGGCTCCCTGAGGAACACAGTCAGACACCTTCTCCAGGTCCAAAAAGCACATGTAGACTGGTTGGCCGAACTCCCACACACCCTCCAGGACCCTACTGAGGTTGTAGAGCTGGTCCAGTGTTCCACAACTATGACAAAAACCACACTGCTCTTCCTGAATCTGAAGTTCGACTATCCAATGGACCCTTCTCTCCACACTCTTACCAGGGAGGCTTGAAAGTGTGACCGATCTGTAGTTGGAGCACACCCTCCGGCCCCCTTTTTGCCAATCCAGGGGAACTGCCCCCGATGTTCACTCAATATTGTAGAGTTGTGTTAACCCACACAACCCTACAACATCCAGAGCCTTAACTCTAGGAGAATCTTGCCACTGAAGAACTCTTTAACCACCTCTGCAACCTCATCCCCAGAGATTGGAGAACCTGACCCAGACTCCCCAGTCTCCACTTCCGCAATGGAAGGCATGTTGGTGGGATTGAGGAGGTCTTCCAAGTATTATGCCCACTGGCCCACAACGTCCTAAATCGAGGCCAGCAGCAAACCACCCCCCTATGAACAGTGTTGGTGATGTACTGCTTTCCTTTCCTGACACGCCAGATGGTGGACCAGAATCACCCCGAAGCCATATGCGAGTCTTTCTCCATAGTCTCTCCGAAGTCCTCCCATGCCCAAGTTTGTGCTTCAGCAACAACTCAAACTGCATGCCAATTGGACTGCTGGTATCCATCAGCTGCTTCTGGAGTCCCACAGACCAAAAAGGCCCAATAGGAATCCTTCTTCGGCCTGACATCGTCCTTCACCGAAGATGTCCACCAGCAGGGTTGCCGCCACGACAGGCACCAACAACCTTCTGGTCACAGCTCCAATAAGCCATCTTGACATGGGAGGCGCAGAACATGGTCCACTCAGACTCAATGTCCCCTATTTCTGGAAGAATATTTTCAAAGTTGTCCCTCCAGTGGTGGGCATCCTCCCCCACCACTGGAGCCAACTCACCACCAGGTAGTAGTCAGTGGACAGCTCTCTTCTTGTGACACAAGTTTCCTGACACTAAAAACACATATGGACACTCTTGTGCTTGAACATGATGTTCATTATGGACAATCCATGACAAGCACAGAGGTCCAACAACAGAACACCACTCGGGTTCAGACCAGGGAGGCCGTCCCTCCCAACCACATCCCTCCAGGTCTTGCCATGTGAGCGCTGAAGGCCTCCAGCAGAACAAGGTCACTCTCCAATAACCCCCTCCAAGTCTCCAAAAAGGATGGGAAATCTGAACTGTTGTTTGGTGCACAAGCACAAACAGTCAGAGGGAGGCTACTATGTTGATCACCAGGGTGAACCCCAATGTACAGGCACCAAGATGGGGGGCAAAAAGTATGTCCACTCCTGCCCTGCGCCTCTGACCATGAGCAACTCCAGAGTGGAAGAGTGTTCAACCCCCTGTCAAGGAGACAGGTTCCAGAACCAGACCAGTGCGTTGAGATGTGGCCGACTATTTCCAGCTGGAACCTCTCAACCTGACACATCAACTCAGGCTCCTTCCCCACCACAGGTGACATTCCACGTCCCGATAGTCAGCTTCTGTAGCAGAGAACGGATCGCCACAGTCCCCACCCTTGGCCACCACCCATCCCTCACTGCACCCAACCCCTTTGGCCCCTCCCACACAGCCCATGGAAAAGGGGACCCATATTTCCTCTTAGGGCTATGCCCATCCAGGTTAACGCCCTGCCACCAGGCATTTTTTGTATTTCCTTTTAATTCTTGTAAAGCATTTTGTATTACCTTGTTGCTGAAAATGTGCTATATAAATAAAATTGCTCCAGCTAACCCTTTACCTTAATCATCTAAAATGGTGTGCTAAATTATTTTTCCCAGTTGCAATAATCCATCTGGTGTAAAGGCTGTCAAACAAAATGGATCCCAGAACTTGACTAACCTATGATAGTGTATCTTTTGCAGAATCTCCTGAAGGTGTTCTTCTCTACATAGGTTAGTCCAGGAGGGTAAATGCGTCTGCTGATGTAGAGCTCCACTGCATTATATTTTGCAAAAAATGCCTGTTCATACAGAACATTATTATTGGAATTTTATCACATAATACAATCTGTGGAAGAAGTTTCTCCACTTGGCTACATACCTCCTCTCCTACTGGTGTTGAGGTCAAACCATCTGTCTGAGGTGATGGAAGAAGAACTGTTACAGGCTGTGTGCTCAAATGAAAGAAATGAGTCGCATCTGTGCCTCTGTGTGTCTCACCTTTGAGTCGTTGTGGATGTTTAGCGTGGGCACGGCATCTGGAAGGAGGGTGTTTTTTCCCCCACTACTGTCATAGCACTCCTCTGTGAAATGGGCTGAACAAATGGAGGACCAGAGCCGAGGATGCCAGTTCCCCCGGCCACAAGCCTTCAGCCACTGAGACAGCAGTGGCAGATTATGGAGAGGAAACCTGGATGTTCAGGAGAAAAGAAAACATTTCTCTGTTTACATTTTAGTTGCATTGGTCACATCGACAGGTGTGGCAGAAGAGTCAGAGTCAATTCAGGTGAATAGTCATCCCTGAAAAATCAATACGTTCAATAAATTTCAAGGATTAAATCATCATTGGTCAAACATTTGGTTTTAAACAATGGCTTTGGACATTTCTTTAGAAAAATTTAAAAGCTTTGGTCTATTTGCCCTAAGTAATAAAAGACAAAAAGTCAAAAATACACAAAACCCAGACTTTGTTCCATCTTATCAGGACCCTGTATTTAAAATCTTGGATGATTTTAAAATCTTGGATAAATCTGAGAGATTGCTGATGTCCCAGACACCAGTGTCATCATCAAATTATACATAGACTTCAATCAGTAGAAATAAAGATTCCACTCCAGAGTTGGAGGAGAATGCTGAGATCAACCCAGGTCCAACAGGTGGGGGACGAAAGACAAAAAAATGCTCAAAGCAGATATGCTCCCACGAGTAATTTCTTTTGGATTCATCAATTATGAAGTATCCAACAAAAAACGGAGTGCAACATGCAAAACCTGCAAGAGGAGGATCTCAGATGGAGATACAACTAACTATACTACATCATTATTATATTAACAAAAACACACAATTTCATTATAAAATAGATTTTTTTACAGTAACATATATTTGATCATGTACAAATAATTCTTAAATGGGCAAAAAGAAAAAAATAAATTGCCCTTGACCTACTGCAGCCATGGCAGGTCATGCTTCTCTGGTAATTTGAGCTGTTGTGCAATGTGTAGTGCACATTCAAACCTCCACAGCACCAGCTGAAGATAAGTAAGAAAAACAATGTCGCAAAAAAGGACTTATCCTTCAGCAACAGAGAAAAAAGAAGGATGAATAGAAAAAAGCCAAGAGAAAAGTATTGCCGTCATGTCTCTTGGTAATGTAATGTTTATCAAAAAGATTTCTGGAGCTACTAATAGAAACAACAACGACATTGAATGGTCCAGTTCAACAGCCAAACATTTATCCAAGTGTCTTTGTATTTGTGTGAAACTGAGTTTTAACTTTAAATGTGTTGATTCTCGTGATTGGTTCTGTATGTTTTTGAGGTTTGTTGTCTTCATAATGTTTGAAAATAAAAATAAAAACTTCTCAATGTTTGACGTTGTCTAGCAAAATGTTTTTACATCATACTACATGGCTACTATATTAATATATCAATGAGCTACTCTAAGCTTAGCGTTTCTCAACAGGTGTGCCACTGTCCCCCACAGGGCGTTCAGAGGAAAAGTGTTTTAATGTTGGTCTGGATGCATGCATCCTGGGAAGGACAATGAAATATCGCTCTTATAAACATGTAATTACTAAAATCACGATACCCTCACTATGTATCCCTGAGAAAAGTGAAGCCATTAAAATGAAGAAATCCTTCCATGGGTGATGCCAAGATAGAGAGCATTCGTTTTATAGAGTTAACACCAATGCTGTAAG